CACAAAACCGCGCGTCTGCGCCGTTCATTAACACAGAGACACGCAGAATTCATATTTAAATCTGAATCCTTTTGCGGCTTAATATTTACAAATACTAGTGGGAGTGTGCTCACTTGTGTGCGCGCGCGTGAGCGCACGCATCGGGCGGAACTCCGCTGTGCGTGATGCAGAGAGCACGACCATAACGTAGAGACTGAAATGACATGCCGTCGTGTAAATAAGATAAATAACATAAGGCTATTTAGTTTGCTTAATAAAAGAACAAGGTATAGACATGTTCTATAAGAAAGGTAACTTTAAATTACTTCTGTTGTGATCTGGCGCTATAGAGAAAATATAATTAAATAAAATTAACTTGACTTTCAAGAGGGGCTGTCGTTGGGGGGGCGGGCCGCCCCCCTAATATAATGGCAGGGGGAACACTGAATTGTATTGTATGAAATCAGTATCACATTTACAAACTCCCTTAAAAATCATTAAAAGCTGTCACTCATCTTAGTTCATCGCGATCTCACATTTATAATCAACGAAGCTCTACACTGCGCAATGAATCTCTTATTTACTCCGTCTACACTTTGCTGATGAAAGGATTCATGAGATATGTCTGTGATACATTACTCGACGCTGCAAAAACACGTAGAAACCTTTGAAGCTTCCCTGAGCGCAATCACAAGTATGATGATGATCGGGTCAGTCGCACTGGTGCTCCTAAAATCAATTTCATAGTCGCACGCAGTAGTTTTCAGTCGCATTTGGTCGCACTGTCGAGCCCTGTACTGCTAATAAATATTAATAAATCTTTATTTTTAAAGGAATAATCACATCTGTTTTCTTTTTAATTTTAAGAGTAAACCTCTGTTGTGCAGCACTTTGTTTGCCAAAAAATAAAAGGGTTTCATTTTCATTTGATTAGGATAAATTAAATTAATGTTTTATGCCTTCATCTGATTACCAGAAAAATTAAGAACATTTTATAGGGCCCTATTATTGTTTAAAAAAAGGACCCATACAAAAAAAAGTATAGGTTTAAAATACAGGCATGTGGTTCTTAATTTCTTTTTATTAATTCACCATATGTAAACTGATGTTTACTGTAAATTTTTTAGAAATATCAATAGCATTTGTATTAAAACTATATTCACTGAATGTAATAAAAAAAAAAAATCGAGAATCGAATCGAAAGCTTGCGGATCGAAATCGAATCGGGACATCTGAATCGATACCCAGCCCTAGTACTTGCATATGAGACTTAAGGAATTATATTCCCATTTGACGGCTTGATGGTCCGTGGTGCCCATTTACTTTCATTATATGAAAGAGCAGATCAGACATTCTGCTAAACATTTCTATTCCACAAAACACGAATTCATACAGGTTTCGACCGATATGAGGGTGAGTAAACAATGAAAATTTTCATTTTGGAACAAACTATCCCTAGCTATCCATAGTACCGTTTGTCTAATCAACATGAAATGCAAAAGCTGTTGTATTTTGTGCTAGTAATTAAACCCGTGATGAAAAACATGTACTAAACATCAGGGGTTTTAACCGAGCTTGCTAAATGCAAAATGTTACCTCACTAGACTTGAAATGTCAGTTCTACATGGAACAAAATGGTGCTATTGCTTCGCAACAATGAATATGTGCATACAAGACAGTCCTTGTGTGAGAACAGACCTCAGACTGCAAAGCTAAAGTGATAGCAGGCGCTTACGTTTTTGTTGTGGGACTGAAATTGTAAAAAAAATTATACAAAAATAAAGTGCTCCCCACTTCTGACTGAATCCCTGGGGCAGTGGCAGCAACAGATTCAGAGCAAAGCATGTTTGGGGTCCTTCACTGACAGACGCACGGGGAGTCTTTAATCCCCCAGGGTCCTGCTGCGGACCCCCCTGCATCCCTGCCTGGCAAACAGCTGATAATGGCCTCTAATCTAGCCCACTTCAGACACATGTTTTTGCCCTGATGTGCCTTTAATGTGTTTTTTTGTGCAACACGGATCACTCATGACTTTTCTGCACTCAGCAAACTCCCTGTTGCTGCTGCCCTAGCTAAAACCATCTCTAGTCAAAATCCTCCTAAATCACTGAAAAAGAACTAATTTCCTGTGTAACATGATGAAAATGTACATTTCATCTAAATTACAGTCAAGGTGTGGCTATGTGTACAGTTGTTGCATGAATGTTTTGTGGATGAAATCCATCCATTTCAATAAGAATACACACAATTAGGAATTTTGTGTGAGGGTGAAAGATTTTCCTGTGCAGATTTCGCAACACGTTCAAGTTGGTCACGCAGATCCGCCATGTTGACCAACAGAAAGCTGCTTGGTTTGAAAGTGACTTGTGTTAGCTGTGCTTCGTACATTGCTACACTATTGTCAATAGACCTTTCTCTTTGCCTGTGAACTTTCGCTAATATGCCCACACATTTCCCATTGTTCAGCAAATTTTCGCAGGCAAATAGAGTCGTTTTAACAGGAATCCACTGTTTGAAAGTGACTTCTGCATGAGCTGTGTTTCATACATTGCTATACTACTGTCAATCTATATATACACTAGAGCTGCACGATTAATCGTTAAAAGATCGCGATCTCAATTCAGACACCCACACGTTCTCATTTCTAAAGGACAACGATTCCCCGAGTCTATTAAACCTTTGACAAAGTCTTACCGAATCATTCAAATCTGTGTTCGCACTCCCGCTGACACAGAGAAAGCAGTTACTTATGTTTGGTTAAGAAACATCTTCACAAACTGTCATTTCAACTACACAGTATTATTTTTGTATTCATATTATCACAGAAATACTGGGGTGAAAGTTTATAGTTCAGATATAAACATTGATGTCTACAGCAGCGAACAAAATAGAGCAAATCCCCTTTAGAAAGGAACTACGCTTCAAATAACGTTTGTGTCGATTGCATTGTTTCACCACTAAAAAAAAGTGACTTAAAATGTATTCGTCATTGAATGAATTATTCATTCAAGAGAATCGTTCAAAAACGCTGATTCATCCAGTAATGAAACAAGTGAAGTAGGTTTATGAGTCGTTGAATCATTGATTCAAACCACTTTTTCATAATTTTAATATTAAAAAATGGTATATTAAATATTATACAGTATATACACTACCAGTCAAAAGTTATGTTTTTTAAAGTCTCTTCTGCTCACCAAGCCTGCATTTATTTGATCCAAAATACAGCAAAATCAGTACAATTTTGAAATAGTTTTACAATTTAAAATAACTCCTTTCTATTTGAATATATTTTATAATGTAATTTATTGCTGTGATCAAAGCTGAATTTTCAGCACCATTACTCCAGTCTCAGTGTCACATGATCCTTCAGAAATCATTCTAATATGCTGATGTTGTTCAAAAAAACATTTTATTATTATTATTATTATTGTTGAAAACAGTTGAGTAGATTTTTTTTCAGGTTTCTTTGATAGAACGTTCAGAAGAACAGCATTTATCTTAAATAGAAATCTTTTGTAATATTATAAATATCTTTAGCCATACTTTTGATCAATTTAAAGAATCCTTGCTAAATCAAAGTATTACTTTATATAATTAAAATAGAAAACTGTTATTTTAAATTATAAAACATATTTCACAATATTACTACTTTTGCTGTATTTTGGATCAAATAAATGCAGGAGGCATTGCTGAGCAGAAGAGAATTCTTTAAAAAAAAACTATTAAAAATCTTACTGTTCAAAAACTTTTAAATGGTAGTGTATATTAAAATGTTTAATAATTCATTCAAATTAATTAAACACTTTTAAATAGACTGCAGCAATAATATTTTGTCACACATTATTTTGTTTAGTTCAGAATCGTGATCGCTATTTGAGACAAAAAAAATCATGATTCTCAATTTATCCAGAATCGTGCAGCTCTAATATACACTATAGTCACTAATGGAGCATGCAGTGTTGTTCGGCACATTTTCACAGGCGAAATCCAGTCATTTAAAAAAGATCCCATATGACTAGGATTTTTGCATGAGGGTGAAAGATTTCCCCATGCAGATTTTGCAATAGGTACAAATTGGTCACACAGATTCGAAAAACTGGCCAACAGAAAACTGCTTGGTTTGAAAGTGACTTGTGTGAGCTGTGCTTTATACATCACCACACTATTGACCACGGAATTTCACAAATGTGACCGCACCTTGACTGAGCATTGGCTGCATTAGCAGGTTTAAAAATACACATTTTAAAAAGCTTTTAATTTATAACAACTTCCACATAAATGGATGGAAAATCATTTCATATCAATATACGTTCTCCAGCTGCCTCGTCCTCGTGTTGACCATTTAAAATAATTGCACGAGGCTGAATTATTTTGGAAGCCATGAAATGAGTGGACAAATTTGATTACACCTAAGGCCAAAACACTATTTATTCTTACTTTGTTTTCTACATTTCGTTTCCTGCTCCTTTCCATAACCTGCCTGTGTACAGTACAACGTGAAGGCCATTTCCTTTGTTTTCAGCGAAAGTTAATTTGAAGGGAAACAAGTCAATGCCTTCAAATTACAGCCTGCAGCACCTCATACCTCCCAATTTGAAGCTCTATAATTAGCATAAGTAATGACATTTAGAAGCTTTCATTGGTGTGGATAATGAGCAGATGGTCCTCCTCAGAGGAGAGCAGATTTGTTTCTGTTCCCAGAGCAGAGCTGGGGGAAAATGGCACAAATTCTGCATGCATGAGACACTGCTCTGAGACCAGTCTCTGCTAACGGCTGCCAGCCTCGGCTTAAGACACGCCAATGACAAGCAGTATCGAGCTTTGTCTGCGCATCTTCCGTTCGATTGCTGAAATATCTGGGTTTCTGCAGAACTGGCTGCAAGTTTCTTGGAGGAAAATCCTGCCAAATTGACAACATGGTGAAATTGAATCGCTCTAAGCCCTCGGATGGAATGTTCCGCCAGCTTGCGGCGGTGAGGGTGGATCCGTGTGTGTTTGTGTGTCTATAGATGTGTACGTACACACTGCTGTCGGTCAGGGAGAGAGTGTCTGCATCACTGGACATGCTCTGCTGCTCGCTGTCGTTGGCACTGGTGGCGGGAGCCAGCGCGTAGCCGGTGTTCACGTAGTACGGGTTGATGGGCTCCCTCCATGACATGTGTCTGTTGATGAGAAATGGGACAGAGGAGATTCCCGTTAGCCACGTGATTAGGAAGACAATACAGGTCATTTCAGTGAAACAACGCATTATATTCACTAATTTCTAAGTAATAATGGCAATCGAGGGATGCTCAGCTGATTGTAATCAGTGGATAATCCTATTCCATGACTCGACTGCTGGTCTGTCAACTTGACCGGATCACATTTCAATAATGCAATAGACACCAGTCTGCTTTAAGACTTCAACATCATTTTAAAACTTTGGGGGAAACAAATAACAGAGAAACTAATATTACCGACATCAACAAAATGAAAAGGCAGGGAATGTAATTATAAATAATTCAATAAACAATTTAGAAAGTAAATAAAAAAATTTTGCTAAATATATAAATAAAAGGAATGAATGATTAAATGATGAATATACAACTGTCAATCATGAACAATAATTAATAAATACAGAAGGCTCTCACTAGGCCTGTCACGATAACTTTGTTGTGCGATCGATATATTGCCCCAGAAATAATTGCGATAAACGATATTATTGTCATTTTAAAGACCATTTTATGCCACAATATAAAATCATAATGTAACAGCATAATAATGCAAGAAGGCCTACACGCTTCCAAATGACAACAACATTAAGAATATTTAGATCATGGAAATTAAGTATCAAAATATTAGATACCTTAAAAAACCTTAACTATTAAATAAACATTTTCTAACAAAAAGCGCAAAGTAACAAGTAGAAAAAAAGAAAAATGCACAAAGAACTTGTATGGAGATTTTTCCATCTACAGATTTTTCCCTGACCTTCTTTTCTCTGTAAATTAAGGGTGCACACTATTGCTGAAAAACACAATCACTACTTAGCAGTCAGATGTCCGTATGCACAAAGGCACAGATCCCGAAACAAGATCATATCTGCAGAGGAAAAGATTTTTGTAAAAGCATTTTTTAAATTTCAACTAGCACCTCATGACTACACCACGTTATGTTCGAGAAGCTGAAAAAGACACCGGCACAAGTGGAATGTGCAAAACATGGTGACATTCATTTTTAAGTAAATATAATGGGCGATATATTGCGTCACCAAAAATTATTGAGGTCATGTACATAGATTGCACGATAAGTCGATATAGTGATTATTGCGACAGGCCTAGCTCTCACATTAAGTTTAATTACACCAATGAGTTCAAATGAATATCAATTTAATTATTCCTCATTCGACTATGCATGCTAATATGGATATTTTGTGTATGCCTACTTGTGCTTTTTAAACCTATTAAAAAAACATTAAAAAAATTGTGCTTGTTTGTTTATTTTTTTATAAATGATACCATAGGTGTTGTCCATCTTGTTGGTTAATTGATAATTATGTTAAAAGTGACTGTGAACAGAGAGCTTACAAATAACTGGTTCTGACAGAGCTCCTGAAAGAAAGACAAAACAAAAACCTGAACAAGGATTGGCATTGGACTATTGAGATGACAAGACAAAAATGTATCGCCGTAAAAACCTGATTGGACCAACATCATACAATTGTAATTACAAAATTACAAAACTGTAACAGGTCATAAAGATAACTGCACCCTACCTGCTCTGTCTTATTATTATTGAAGATAAAATCCTTTTTAAAAAAGGACCTGTCTTCTATTAATGACAGCACACAATCAATCAAGTGTTTCATCATTAAATTACCCTTAAACATTTTCAAAATGAGCTTTCGGCTGGGTGGAGGCAAAACGCAGACAATCAAACTCTCAGAAAACCAAATTATCTTGCAATTAGTTAATTCCGACAAAGAACAAAAACATACCACACAGTTGAAGACACCATCTTGTCATGCGAAAACTGCAAGAGGGATAAGTGTTACACTGCTTAAATGGTCTTAAAATATGATTGGGTTAATGCCTTTTCTCCTAGCTAGCATTCTCTTGGAACTGTGCAGTATGCTACCTTAACGACTTATTCCCTGACTAGTTATTTAACTGCAGAACATTTAGATGTAAATGTACTATCAAATTAATTAAAAATAGAAAAAAAAAATCTCAAGAGATCATCCAACAAGAAAAATATTTACTCACAAAATGACCTTTTTATAGAACACTTAATTAGTTCCTTAATATACAGACCCAGGATTGTGGAGTTGTTAGCACTAATGTTCTGCAGTGTGAGCTACATGACACGATTCCATAAGCTTTATGTGAGATGGAAAAAAATGAAAGATAAAAAAAACACCACCAACGACCCCTTTGTCAAGATCAGAAATGTATTACAAAAATGCACTTCTCATGTTTTAATTTAACCAAACACGGGCACAAAAAAGAGAAAATGCTATTTATTTACTTATACTTAAAGTTTTTAATATCAATCAATATAATGTTTATATAGGGGCCTAGCAATGCAGAAAACAAGGAATTCCAGAATCCAGTCCTAAAAATTAGATACAATATAACACAGAATGTCACGTAATTTGGCAAATTTTGGATGAATGAATCAAAAGTAGGTAGAGTGCTGGGCGGTATGACCAAAAATTTACATCACAGTATTTCTCAAAATTATACCGGTTTCACGGCACATGACGGTATTGTTTTTTCATGCATGACCGGGTGTTAACCATATTTTCTACTGATTGAGAGAGTAAATACTGCAGTATATTGACTCAGAATGCCCTATTTTACGGTCATGAATAGTGAATACTGTCAAAAAAATACCACACTAAATAGTGGCTAAACACGACCCCTTTTAATACATGTTAACCAGGAGTCACTCATTTATAATCGCGGCATCCTCTGATAAAATCAACATGCATCTACACTAAAGAGCGGCTATGCGGTTGTTTTGGCTATAATACTTTTTTGTCTCATGTAACAAACTAAAAAAAAACAACAAACAAAAAAGTGCATGTGATATTAACAGACAAACTACGCTCATATTTATAATTCCAAACAATCAGTAAGTGACAGGTGCTAGGAAACGCTGTTTTGTACTTTATTGACGAGTCGTCAATGTGGATATTGTGGACAAGTTCTTCGGTGTCATCACGTTCTATTAGTTCTACAGCTTCGGTTTCTGAACTTTCACGCTTAGTAACACATACAGCTGTTCCCTCACCACAGTGCAACACCCCTTTCAAACAGTGTCGCGTTCCGAACGTTGTTTAAGTGACGTATACCGGTATTGCGGTATTTTAAAAATTCATTTCATAACAAAAATAAACACCGGTATTCGGTATGAACCGGTATACCGCCCAGCACTAAAAGTAGGGCAGTACACTTAATCTAATCATTATATGGACTAGTGTCTGTGAATATTAATCTTAACTTAATATATTACTAATGCACACCGGAATGTACATCTCAAAGAATTATTAACATTAATGATAATTAGTGCTGTGTTCAAAATATCGATACGACGATGTATCGTCACAGAGATTTGACGATACGAGTATCGATACAGCTGGCCCTCTATCGATACTGTGGCACGTGTGCAGCAGTGGACCACGCTTAATTTTACAACGTTTAAAATTTAGTAGAAAAGTGCGAGGTTTCTAAAAAAGAATGAATAGAGCATCTGTTAATAATCTGGCCGCAGAGGAACACAACTGGGTTGCCTGATATAAAGAGACGTAATCCCCAAAACAGAGCTTTACACTTGCGCAATACAGCAATATCTGCTAAACGTGCTACTTATCTTTGTCAACCTGGCAACCCTGTGCTCACGCGCTCTCTCCACTGGATAAACGCGCTTGCTTTCTGAAAACACCGCTTAGCTTGCAGTTTAGCCATCTCCACTTCAAGTCTATTCTCAGAAAAGTGTGATTCATCAACTGTGCATTTACGACAGAGAGAGAGAGAGAGAGAGAGAGAGAGAGAGAGAGAGGCTGTGTGTGTATGAATTACCACCGTTTTGCAGCGTTTCTCTATTAACAGTAAAGCTATGGCTTCAATTCCTTTAGAAACAATGATGCTACCAGCTCCTTGTTGAGAAAGATAATGTAGCTCTTGAGCGATTAAGCTATTTAGTTGATAAAACTGCAGGGCAGCGCTAGTTTATGCCTGAATGTCTGAGTTCGGCCGCAGCATGATGTGTGTGTGACTGCACTTAACACCAAACTGCTTGTTTAGCACAAATGCTGGCACAGACGTGCATGTTCGGCTAGAGTCGCTTTGAGTGTGATTCATCAACTGTTCATTTACGACAGAGAGAGAGAGAGAGAGAGGATGTGTATGTATGAACTACCACCGTTTTGCCGCGTTTCTATATTAACAGTAAAGCTATGGCTTTAATTCCTTTAGAAACAATGATGCTACCAGCTCCTTGTTGAGAAAGATAATGTAGCTCTTGAGCGATTAAGCTATTTAGTTGATAAAACTGCGGGGCAGCGCTAGTTTATGCCTGAATGTCTGAGTTCGGCCGCAGCGTGATGTGTGTGTGACTGCACTTAACACCAAACTGCTTGTTTAGCACAAATGCTGGCACAGACGTGCATGTTCGGCTAGAGTCGCTTTGAGATGAACTCGTGCATCTTCGGAAGCGGAGCTGCACGGAAAGTTACAAAAAATGTTTTGCACACCGCCATGCGAAACGACGTTGTGCGCACTCAAAGCGAACTTGCTGACGCTCGAGTATAAATCAGCCATAAATCAGCCTTGAGCGTGTGTGCGTTAGATACAGTGAAGACAGCGCGTTAGTTTAGAACTCTTCTCATTTTTTTTTTATTGTGGAGAGTGTTCATTTGTGCAATGTTGAGCGATTAAGCTATTTAGTTGATAAAACTGCGGGGCAGCGCTAGTTTATGCCTGAATGTCTGAGTTCGGCCGCAGCGTGATGTGTGTGTGACTGCACTTAACACCAAACTGCTTGTTTAGCACAAATGCTGGCACAGACGTGCATGTTCGGCTAGAGTCGCTTTGAGATGAACTCGTGCATCTTCGGAAGCGGAGCTGCACGGAAAGTTACAAAAAATGTTTTGCACACCGCTATGCGAAACGACGTTGCG